GTTAAACGACATTACAACATAGATACCTCCCACATTATCACTTTTTCTGAGGGTTATGCTACCAGGCAAAGACACTCTTTAATGATAGCTCCTTTCTTTCCACGAAATAATTGCTTTAAATACTCTTTCTTCTGTAGAACTATTGCTGATTGGAACAACCTAACTTATAAAATTGTAACACAAAAATCACTTTCATTGTTTGAAAAATGCTTAGAGTAGTTCTTTAGTACCATTGATTACATCTTTTGTTGCATTTGTTCCTTTTTGCGTGTCACTTGTAAAATTCGATTATCAGTTAAACGGAATCTTTTTTCCAGCGATGTATCCTCTGTATATTACATATACCCTACTTGGTATTTCATTAATTACTTAGAATTTTGTTTCGCATCCCTATTTGTGTTGCTTTGACTGTATGCATTATATTGTCCGCGTTATGCATTTTCTGCGTGTATATTATTTTGCCCTTTCAGAATACTTTGTACCTCTGTCCCGCACCTGCTATAGTCTCTGTTCGAGACTGCAGTATCAATAAATAAAAACATTACTCTATGCCGATGCGTTACCCAGACAACACTGCGTCTCTCTCTTTTCGTGACGGAGGGATGCTGGACGAGCTGAAACGCGCATGCGTCAAAAGCAACGCTGCGCAGCGCGCGCCTGCGAGTATATGGCAGGACCGTTGCCTGGCATGGCGACGCCGGCGAGCACGCGCACAGCGTCATGTCCAAATGTATTGGTGCCTTGACTGTGGCATGTAATCATGTTCTCACATGACACGCATCTCATGATTATTATGTTCGCACCAGTCACATACGTTCGCCATCCATTGGCATCACGTAATACCAAATTTTGCATATGAGAAGCTAGCAAAACGGCTGCGAGCGCATCAAGAGTGTGGCATGTAGTCATGTTCTTACATAACACGCATGTCGTGACTATCATGTTTGGATGTGTTATTTACCTATGTCGTCCGTTCGCGTCGCGTAATACCGAGTTTGGTACATGCAAAGCTAGCGAAACGGCAGCGGGTGCATCATGAGCGTAGCATGTAGTCATGTTATTACATGACACGCATATCACGATTATCATGTTTGCACCAGTCACCGTCATAAATCCACGTACCGTAATACCAACTTTGATATATGTGACGCTAGCGAAACAGCCACGAGTGCATTATGGGCGTGGCGTGTAGCCATGTTGTTACATGATATGAATGCCATGATTTTCATGTTAGGATCTGTCGGTTGTGTTTGCCCTGCAATCATGTCATACCAGTTTTGCAACATGCCATGTGAACGAAACCACCGCAAGAGCACAGGACCATGGAATGTAAATCATGACATCCTTGACATACATATAATTTTCATGTTATGACTAGACAAATATGTTCTCCATACAGTCATGTTATGTCATACCAAGTTTAGTATTGATATCATATTAGAAACGGCTGGGAGAGCTAGAAGTTGTATGCGGCTTAATAGATAGATATATAGATAGATACGCCTCTAAGTCGCCGAAGTTCGCCAAAAAATGCCTCGTATTTAAAAACGTGTCGTTGAAATGAGGCTATGATTCCAGTGGTCCAAAAGAAAAGTCTGTACTTCCAAGTAACGGAATCAATCCACTTTCAGTAAATATTCTTTCAGCTAGCGGGCTCTTACTTGATCCAAACCTATGCTCGGATATCATGATTATTCTGTACAATCCTTACCTTCGACCATTGCCTCATTTTATATGTGTTTTATTTATTAGAATTTGGCGATATTCGAGCCGGATGAACAGCTTTGATTTGGTTGGGGACCGATTCCGTTGTGCTCTACGAAAACTCTAATGTCACTAAGAGCTAGCGCCATGAAAAGACATACTCAAGATCTTGTGTTTGCGTTTTAGGGGCGAAGCCCCTTATAGCGGCACTCGTTCGTCCCTCGTAGCCGGTGTAGTAGTGTGTAACAAGTATAACATTTTGACCTCCAAGGTGGTGCCGGTGAGAAATTTATTCTGTGCGTTGTTGAACAACAAAAGATAGTGCTCACTGTACATGCTAATGGCTGCTAAGGGGAACTGAGACAGGAGAATTCGGCTTTTAGTTAATGAGCACACTGCAAATTTTTTTATTGTTCAACAACACACAGAAAAAAAGAAAGGGTTGCAACGTTATACTCGCTGGGCGTAACTTCCTAGGTTTTAAAAAGGTTTAGTGAGCGTTGGGCCGCAGTCCCATGAATACAGTGAACTAGTATATACCAAGAACTCGAGGTGGTTAAAGGTGGGAAGTAGACACGAAGCGCAAGCTCTAAGGAACTGTGCGTGTGCCTCCTCTCATTCAGTCCTTGGAACGTCCACCGGATGGCAGTGCGTATGCGGAATATATTGTTACGGTGCATCATCGACAGGAGCAAGTGTGGCACTTTGCGAAGATGAAGAAGACGCCTGTGCGTTAGGCGCTTGCGCGAGAGGCAACTCAGACATATTGTTCGGCTGCCGATTCTCGGTGGACGCTATCCCATAAGCCTAGACCTTGCCCCGTCACAATAGGATGAAAAGATGCGAGATGGTCGTACTTGGAGTATTGAGTAGGTGGACGAACGGACACACAGATAGATGCATGGATGGACGCACGGACGGCTGCACGGACGGATGGACGCATGGACGGACGCAGGAGCGGATGCATGGACGAAAGCAGGGACGGACGCACAGATGAACGTGTGGACGCTCGAACAGACGCACGCACGGTCGGCCACACAGACGCAGGCATGGATGGACGGAAGCAAGAACGAATGGGCAGACGGATGCTTCGGCCCACTATCAATCATTCACTCCGTGGATATGCTGCCATTTTTTATTACTATTTCTTGTCATGAGTGTCACTTACTTTTTTGTGTAATCTCTATTTGTCACAATATTCAGAAAAGTAAAAATATCGGCATTCACAAAAACAAGCCCAACGAAATAAGCTCATGCTTTAAAGGGCCACTCACCAGGTATCACAATTTTGAAATGACAAGCGCAATGCGTTGACGAGGCGTTCATGATCACATCTGCTAAAATTGGCAACGCAACGATCCTCGGAAATGGGTCAAATTTCAAGATGAACGCTGCTCCCCTTCCCTTCTGCCGGCGCCCGCTAGAAAATGAGGGCATGACGTGCGCGTATGAGTGGCCCTACGTACGCGTCAATGCAGTGACGTTGGTCCTCTACGTACACGACTCTGCTTTGACGTTGCAAACAGTGTCACGTGACATGGCAAAAATAATTGAACATGGAATACGCAGTTTATTTAATTTGTTGCTTGAACAAATAATAAAACTCTGGAAATAATTTGACGGCAGATCCACGAGGTGAATGAAGGCGAGATTGGGCGAAGCTCCTGGAAGTAATACTATGAAATTTTCTTCCGTTAATTCGCCTGGCGATATGCGCACTTCGTCGCCGCTTCCCGTTATCGAATGTTTTCAAGATTTGCTTCGCGACGTTGACGTGCTGCCTCGGCGGAAGGATCTTGTCGATGCTGACGTGACGCTGCAGCTTCTTGTTCACGTACGGTGGGATCTTGCCGACGCTGTCTTGTTGATGTGGATTTTGTTCCGTACAGCAAGATCTTGGCGGCGACGTCGCACAGCTTCCCGGCGCGCTTCTGCCTTGCGTGCTCTCACTTCCGGGTGCTGTATGCGAGCGAGCGCTGCCGCTGCCCTGCACGCTCGCCTTTCGGCATCCTTATCCATACGAGCACACACCGACGGCAACGAGCATCGGCAACTACAAACCTTTATCGATATGGTTTTGATGATAAAACCACAGCTTTAGAAAACACCTGGTGTCTTTCGTTAAGCTGCTGGCGTCTTTTTTTTGTTTTGCTTTAGAAACATCTGACGTCTTTTTGTTTTGCTTTTAGAAAACCTCTGGCGTCTTTCGTTGGTTTATTTCATCAATCAACGGCGTTTTGAACAGAATGTTTTTATTGTTTATTCAAGCACAGGAGAAATCTCACCAGGAACTACCTTGGAGGGAAACAATGGCTGCTACTGGGAATGAGAGACAGCAGAAGTCGGCTTTTAACACTTCTACTAACATTTCCAACTGGAACATAGCAATGGCTGCTAATGGGGAATGATAGAGAGAAGAATTAGGCTTTTAGTTAAAGCGCACGCTGCGAATTTTTTATTGTTCAACAACGCACAGGAGAAATCTCCCACCGGCATCACTTTGGAGGTCAAAGCGTAAGGCTGGTTTCACACTGCGACTACGGCTGCGACTACGAGAGACGAACGGGTGCTGCTATAAGGAGCTTCGCCCCTAATAATAAGACGAATGAAGGGAATGTTAGCGTCTTTTTTCCATTTTTCTCCCATGAATTGCAACGAGATACGGGGCTAATTTGTCGACGTTTCGTATGCGTTTACGTCGCCGCAGTGAGCGTTTCGAGCAGACGACCGCCGTGGAACCCTCCTACGCGTTCGCGCGCTGACTGTGCTCATCTATTCCACCGCGTCTAAGCCAGCGTTTCCAAACCATCTCCCAGAAACAGGCCGAAGATCATAGAATAACGCTGGTTAACAAAGCAACGCCGCATGCATACTCGGGGGGGTTGGACTTGTTTGGGCACGTCATGCACACTTGACTTCTTGTTTAGATGCCGGAAAGGTTGGGGAAGAGATTTGGCTTGTGAAGGGTACGCAGAGGAGCGGCAAGGGTTTCGAGCTGGCCTCCTCTTTTCCTCGTTTTGCGACGCGTCAAGAAAAGCATGCTTTCTCTGCTCGTGATGAACCGATTAAAAATTTTTTGTGGCAAAATGTTTCTCATCGGACACCCAACAGCTTCCATTGTCTAACTAAAATTTAGTATGGGGCCTGGTGAGGGGCCCTTTAAAGCGAAACTTCGCTTGTGGTGCGCTTTGAGATTGTCTCATTTCATTTGGAAAAGTCAGAAAGCAATCGCACTCTGCTCATGCATCACTCAAATAAATGTTTTTATTAACATTATCGAAATCACTGGTTCGCAGGAGTGGAGGCACGAGACGTACGAGATGATGTGGCACGCCATGAAAGAGGACCTAGTGTCTTCCATCGCCGAAGGCATTGGGCGTGTAGAACGCGGTGGCTACGCCTTCCTCATGGAGTCTACGAGTATTGAGTACGTGGTACGAAGACGGTGCCAGCTCAAGCAGATCGGGGGTCTTCTAGACTCTAAGGGTTACGGCATCGCAACGCCGCATGGTGAGCCTTAACTTGCAAATTGTGGCTCATTTTCATAGTCTTCATAAATATTGTCATCTTCCCTATCATGAGGCTGACTCTACTCACTCCAAGAAAACAAATGCCTCTTTTGTGCGCCCGTTTTCACCAATCGATCCGACGCTGTGTTTGCTAAGGCCACGTTAGTCTTGTAGACTACCGGTAATGTCATTTGTCCAACTAAATTGCTGCGTCATCTTCAAGTGCCTGACCTCGTGCTGCATGCCTCTTCCACTTTAATTTCGTTGTGTTATTGATTCTGATGTTATTTTTGAACATTTTTTCCTCACTCCACTCTGCTCTCTTCTTGTCATTAAGTGTTACACCTATCATACTTCTGGCGATGGCTCGCTGCATCGTCCACAAGGGTGCGCTAACCACACTTTATTGAACGACACATTACTCATAAACAACCATGTAGTTAGGAGCTCCATGCAATAATAATGTAATGGAGGTGATGTCAGCGTGTTCTTTGTGGATAGTTCTTCATCTATGAAACTGCAAATTTATAATCGCATGATGTTGATACGTAAACACTAAGATCTATGTTTCATTAACGATACTTCCTCCTCTGACAATAATAAAAGAATTTTAGAGGCACGTTTCTTTCACTCAACCTTAATAAAATTCCGTGCATAAAGAGGCCAAGAATCTTATAGGAGACGTAATAAGTGAGTTTTTAGTCAATTCAAGTTATTGTATTATCATTGCGTCAAACGTATGTATGCAGGTAAATATGCTCTGCCCATAGGTTTTTTCGACATAGACCACTCTTTTCTCTAAAATTTCTTAGATGTCATTGAGCGCGTAAAGGAGAAATCAAAAGCTGGGTTTCTCTTTCATGGCAATTGCTATTTAAGATCGCATTGTATTGCTGTCTATTAGCAGGTCTGTTAAAACTTTAAAATATAGTGAGTAATGCAATGTCGTCCAACATACCCCACGTTACATGTCGCAGGCACAATGTTTGTGCCAAAATGAAGCTGGGTTCCTGACCGTGAAGCCAAAAATGAACGGGTAATTCCGACATCACAGCAAGTGGCATCACACGAAAGCAAAACCTGTCGTTGCTGAAGTAGTTAAATGCTTTCTGTACGTTGATATAGGCGAGCTTGCGCAATGTCTGTTGTTTTTCGGTACTTATAGCACTGTTCAACGTAGATCAACGCACGTTGGCACCTGGTTGCACATCTCTATGCTGACAACCTAATAGCATGATCAAAAAATAAACAAAGCTTTGTGGTATCTGTAGTAGTTACCGCTGAGAGCGCAAGCAGAGAAAGTGGTGTGAAAGCCAAAAGAGCGTTGCTTACTGGGTGCACATTTTGAGAAGGCCGCCATCTCGTGCCATTTTGGAGGGAAATACAGTGCGCGTTGATTGCACCTTCTAGCCTGGTGCATCTTTCTCAGGGTGAACGTAGTGCGAAGCGCAGTGTTATAATAGTCGCGTTGTTGCCGGTATGAATAATAAATAATGAAAATTCAACATGGGGACACAAGAAGAGACCCTGACAAGAAGAGACCCTACAGCGCTTGTCAGTGTTTTTTCTTGTGTACCCGTGTTGAATTCACGATCTTCGTTCTTCCTACTGCTAAACCAAATAGCCCAAAGTTTCACCTAATTAGGTTATAGCCAGGTTAGTCAGGGGTGCATCGTACAGCTATCATTGGTATGGATAGATCGTATAAGGAAAGTCGAGGTTTGGGCTAACGTAGTCAACTCGTGGTGGGCCACGACGATGATGAAATTGCACTTCTATCATCGAATGAAACGGAAGCATAGGAACAAAGCCCTGCAGGAGCTAATAGCGGAGGTCCCGGTCATGATGCATTGCTTCACTTTGCCGCTTGCAGACGGTGACATCATCCTGCCAGCCCAGATCGCTGCGACATGGACGGGTACGATATAAAAGAGGAGTGGTAACGCCATCAGAGTATGCGACCGCAAAACAATGTGTACGTGTCTCCACGATTGAAGACTCACTTTTAAGGTTCACTCAGGTACACTTGCCGCGAAGACAAGGCAAAGGACTATAATATTTTCTCTTGGACGTAAACTGCAAATTGTGCCGAAGCCTTGAGACAATTGATGAACGTTTCATTGGTTTTCATTAGGAAAAGCTATTTAGGGACGTTCTTCAGCGACAATTGAAACAGACTTAATTCGATTTCGTGAACATTAGTCCCCTCAATGTGACCATGTATAGCACTGTCATTTGATTGCGTTCATTTTTCTGTGCCATTTTATGGATGAAAATACGTCACTGCAGTCATCGTAGACCTCAACATGAATCTTTAGTCTTAACGAATCATGTCATATATTGTTTTATTTGCGTAGGTTCTCCGTACCGCAACATCTTGTCGTCAACGTTACTTCGGCTGCAGGAGCGCGGCACACTGAAAACATTAAAGGATCGTTGGTGGAAAGTACGGGATCCGCTTAAAGGTTGTCCTACTACAGAGGCCGGCGAATCAAGGACTGTCGCAGCTAGCGAGCTGGGCCTGCGAACAGTCGGCGGCGTGTTCGTCGTTCTCCTTGCTGGTCTTGGTCTAGCCTGCCTCATCGCTTTCGCCGAGTTGTTCTGTAAAGCGAGATTAGGGCGCAGTTAAAGGGGTGTTTGAGCCTTTTACATCTCAGCGCATGAAGTGGACTATTTAGCTTATGTTTATTTCGAAGACATGACAGGCGCAACGAAGTGCAGGCGGGATACACGAAAAAATATTTGCTCCATGCGTGGAATTTCCTGTTGCACTTAAGATGGTTTGAATCTTTGCTGGCTGTGAATTGTATGGAGAAAGAGACAGGAATAAATTATGCGTGGAAATGCTCAGAGATGCTGTGAGATTGTGCAGTTTTTCCTGTTTGAGCACTGATAATTAGCCCAATAAACTGCATTTTCATTATGATTACCAATATTTTGCAGTATAGCTGCCCATCTTGTTCATATGGCCTGTAGTGCATATTGTGAAAATAGGTCACGCCTGACTGCTGGAATGATTAGTGGAATACTCAACACCAGCATCATTATTTACGTCCTCTTCTGCATTTTGTGAAGGCTCCTTGTATTGAAACATCAAACATTTATGATAGCTTGAGAACATATTGATGAGGGTCGATTATTTCAGTAACAAAGCAAGTATACCCCCCATCAAACTATCAAATGTTTACAGCTTTAAAAGAGCATGTCTTATCCGCAGCCATGTAATCAAGAAAACGGAATGTGTGTATGGGACTTTCGTTCCAAGAAAAACTTCGTTATTTACACTTTTTATGTCATCTATGCTCTTGTACAACATTTAGGCCATTAAGGCCTTTCTGCTTTATTCAAAGAAATGCGCAGAAATTTGGCACCTCTTTGTGTGACCTCAACGGTGAAAAAGCATGTTAAGTATTCATTTATTGCAAGACCATCCACAGTATACAAACTTGCTCAGATGCCGCTGTTAATGATTGCGACGAACAATTATTCCAACAAAGATGTATCTTGACAAATGTCCCATTCACAAAGGTGCTGTGACATCGCGCACCTTGCTTGGTCCTATTAAAACGTATAGACAAATACGTTGCTTCTTGATCGTTTTGTGGCAAGCACCACAAAACTCAAGTACAAAAGTATCATGCACCTACTTCCTATATAATCACTACAGTTCCACTTTCTCCTAACTCCTTCGGCTCAATTCATTTATTTCTACTTGCTTTTTGCACGATGCATGGTATCGTGTAACAATAGACAATACCACACTGCTTCGAGTACCTGTAAGAAACTAGTTGTTCTCCTTCATAAACCTTGGGGAACTTCATAACTTTTCGCGAAGCCAACTTGCTAGAATTGCAGTCCTAGTATGTTAAATTATGTTCCGTAAGCAGTAGAAACCTTCCCTAGGATGTGGTCTCCATGTTCTAGCCACACATTCTTTCCTGGGATATCACAATAGGCCAATGCCAGATTGATGAAAAAAAATTAAGTCTAACAATTATTAGGGCCAAGTGAACCCGACAACAATTTCATGAGCACAGTCAAACTGCGTTCCGCTTGTAGTATGCAAGGCTCTCATACTGGTGGCATAACTAGCCATAAATACACATTGCTCGTACGCTATTGTGCTGCAGCACTATCAGATGGCTTTCCGGGAAAACAACCGTCATGGATCACGACCAAAATAATGGCCGTTTCTTACGCATTGGGTCTACAGCACGTCAGCATTTGTGGATGATAGCGTTAACCCAATGTCACGGCTGTATCGTAAAAAACACAAGTATTGTTTATAAAGTTGGATAACGAGTACCTCAACTGGAACCTCAACTGTTATCTCACGAAGATTGCGCCTGCACAGGTTGTGTTTCCAAAGTAGTTCTGAGACTTGGAGTGGCTCTTTGGTGTAATACTCGATTGCCATGCAAATTGTTTGGGTTCGACTCTTGCTGGGACCATTACATTTATTCTTTGCATTTGGCGGGTGAACGCAGCCAATGTTGGTTTTTCTATACACTCTGGCATTTGAATTATAAATGTCTGTTTTCATCGTTCCTCGGAAGATATGATCTGTCAAATAACATCGGCGCATACCCGCTCGTGGTATGCGGGTATGTGCGACATGTGTCTGGTGGAAAGGGTTCAACGATGTACGTGATGAGATTGTTGCAATATCCATGTCGTGACGAGCGAGTCATATTTGTGAAACCACATTACCCTCCCATACCAATCTTCGTTTACCTCAAATTGATGGGGTGATCACTAGAGCACCCAGACGTTTGAAAGTATATATACAGGGTACGTAGATATACGAACGTATTAAAAGTAGCAGCTGTAAAACAAACAAATTCTTTGAATTTAATTTCACTGACATCAATGTTGCTGCTTTACACCTGTTAGGTAATGGGGTGCCATTAAAACGGTTGTACGATTACGAGCAAGCTAAGGTTCTGGAGTGCTATTTGTGCCATCTCGCGGAGCCTTTTTATTGAAGATTTTTGCAATTAGTCGGCCACCCGCTAGCTGGCCGCCAAGTCAGCAGTGACATCCATAAAATGCTCAATCGTTAAGGAAAAACCTATGATATCGCAGCTTATAAAGAGCTCTCAAGTAAACTAGTGCCAATAGCTTGTTTCGGAATGAAACTAACGTAAATTAGGTAAGAAAACTTATCTGTCAATATTATAACAGATAGTCTATTGAAACAAACAAAATTGGTCGCAGTAATGTCAGTTTTACTTAAAGACTCCTGTGGATAGGCACTTGGTGTGTAGTTGTACCCTATAGTAGCAAATTTACAAAATATCCGATGATCTTAAGATATAATTGGGATTTATCATATCGAAAACATTCATTGCGAAAGTATCTTGTATCTCTATCTTCAATACTTCTTGCCCAGGTATCTATTGTAGTACCGTGGTATGACTTCAAATAATATTTGGCCAACCCTGCCCCACTAAGATGCGTGGACGACGGAAATGCGATAAAGCGTGCAGCGCTCGTTGCATGAGTTTACTTAAGATTGAAGGACTGAAGTGCTCGTCCTCAATATCCTCCGCATTCTGACTTCATAGCAGCCAGTACTGAGCGTTCAGTAGTTCCCCATTCTATAGGCGTCCTTATTGGATCAGTTATCACAACACAAGGTAACCACGTCTCAACCCGACGGTAAAAGTGCAGTACCTCCAGAGCATCTTTCCCTGTTTCTCTCTACGCAACTCTGCAGCAGTCTTTAGGCTACTTGGGAAGTATAGTCGAGGAGTGGAACCGCTACGTAGGTTTCGGAGCAGTCTTTGGTGCAGGTAAATGTGCCTTTTGTAGCAGGCTTCGAGCACCCATAAAGACGTCTTGTAGCGGGTTTGGAGCAGCCCCAAAGGCATGTTCGAGCAAGTCTGGAGCAGTCAAAGTGTTTCATATGACACGTAAAGCAACATGCGTCCAATGGTGCATTTTTTCAGACACTAAGCTAAATTGCCTGACAGCATACTGGACTTGTTTTTCTTATGAACATAAGAAAGAAAAGAACGAAGTAGAATGCGGAGCAAGCCATTATAAAGTGAAGATATTCTTTAGTTCTAAGACCACGAGTTCTTGTTGTTCACACTTCACTATGGTTTTTTTGCGTCTTTTAAGTTTAGATAACCCTCATAGACTTTACGCCAGCATGACTTAATGAATGAAATGGAACTTAACATGTTTGCGAACTGCACTTTTAGGTAACTAGACAATTAATTATTTATTTATTCATACAGTCACTCATTCATTTATTCATTTGTTTGTGTCATTATTTTTGTGTTTAGGTTCACCGATATCATACAGGGAATTACAGGGGATTCGGTCACGCCGTTGTAAGTGATATGAAAACTGATTGCAGCAATAAATAAATAGCATGTAAAGCAACTGCGTAAGTGCGGTTTTCACAGACATGCTGCTGTGTGGGGGAGAAATAAAATCTGGAAATGTTCAGAAGGTATATAGCCAACGCTGACGTAATCTGCGCGACAATATATGGCCTGCAACTGATTACAGCCTAATATGTCGGCGTTACCTTGCGTCTGATGAATTCGGAGATTAGAATTGGTTACTCTTGTTAGCGTACCCGCTTTACCCCAGAAGGTCTGAGTCAATTGTAGTGCCTAATTTTAACTGTGCTAGTAGACAGCACGTGACTTGTTGGGAAACAAAGTGTAAACAGTAGTACACCGTGTACTGTGCAATGTACCTTCTACTTTATGTGAGGATGCTCAATTTCGTGCATGGGTACTAAAGGTGACTTCCGTCATGTCTGCTTTAGAAGGGAAATTTTGGATATTTAGCATAGGTAGGTAACACGGCGCAGTGCAAACCTCAAAATGTTTGTCTGATCTCTTCTTTCGATTGCTTCAAAAAACGGTGCTCGTGTTGTATACTTTCTTGGGTCCTCGTTTTTTTTTGTGCTGGGAAGCATGTCAATTCGTTAGTTTGGGTTAGTACATTAGGTATTTTACAGCATTATGATTTTGCAATCTTGCAAGTCTTTCAAGTAAAATAAAGCTTCCTTCTTCCCCATTCCAAGTACAGGGTAGCAAAGTGAAGTCATTTTCTGGTCAACGTTTCTGTCTTGCCTTTATCTCTATTTATTTGTTCTTTATTTTTCCCTGATACAAATAAAAGTATTACTACGCAAGGTAATGTTGCATGTTTATCATACCTACTTTGCTTTCGTGGCTTCCTGCAGAGCCTATTTCACCACTCAGTGGAAAATTCACAACTAATAACCGAAAAAATTTAACCGAACATAAAAAAGATCATTACAATGAACTTCAACGCCGGCTCAGCTCCCAACCCAATGCTGATTTCCGTTCGTCGTGGTATGGTAAATTTACCAAACACCAACGCATTTCATGAAGCAGCCTTGAAGTTCATATTCAAAGGGATAGAGGGCTTTTTTAAAGGGACTGTGGAGACGGAGCACAGCAGTTTCACCGCATGAAAGATGTTTAACGGAGTTGCTGGACCACAACACCTTTCAAAAGGGCTCCGCCTCGGTGGTCTAGTGGCTAAGGTACTCGGCAGCTGACCCGCTGGTCGCGGGATTGAATCCCGGCTGCGGCGACTGCAATTCCGATGGAGGCGGAAATGTTGTGCGCCCTTGTG